GTCATTCACTCTTTTTGTTACTATATAAGAGTCCTATTATATAAGCGGTGGAGCAACCTATTCATCTTTTAGCTATAACAGAAATTTAACTAATCTGTCTAGATATATATATATAAAATCTATCTATATCTATCTATATCTATATCTATATATATATATAGATATACACAGAGAGAGAGTGAGAGAGAGAGAGTAGTGGTTTAGTCGCTAAGTCATATCTGCAACCCCGTGAACTGTAGCCCACCAGGCTCCTCTATTCATGGAATTTTCCAGGCAAGAATACTGGAGTGGGGTGTCATTTTCTTCTCTAGGGGGACTTTCTGACCCAGGGATCAAACCCATGTCTCCTGCATTGCAGGCAGTTTCTTTACCAATTGAGCCACCAGGGAAACCATATATACATATATATATAATACACATACATACATATAAATACATATATATATCCAAAAATATACATATATGTGTATGTATATATTTTATACCTACACTGACTAATGGTTAATTTTCCATATGTTAAGAAAAGTTTAGTAAGAAATGTTTGGGTAAATTTGCCTCTCAATCACCATAATATCTTGACTTCTTTTCATTTGTTATTTGTTTTCCCCGCTTCACTTTCTTCCTCCCTCTCTCCTATCCTTCTCTCCCTCCTTTCCTTCCTTGCATTTGTTCAGCTGTATCCTGCTTTCTTCCCCAAAAGATTATGTATGTCATATAATAGACATTAAATAATCTCCTTGCTTTTTTCTTAATAATTTGCTTTTATCAGTGCATATGGTCAATCCATGCTCTCTAAATCATTCATCACAGAAATCAACACTGCAAGGTTGAGGAGTGTTCTCTTTCACATCTGCCTATCCAGCAATAATATTTTTATTGTACATATTTTCCAGGTCACCCTATTTTATTTGACTTCATTTTCCATCACTGGCATTTCTGTTGCTCAGCATATAGTCTAAGTAGATGTACAAATTAACTTCTTTATTTTAGTTGCTCTATCTTTGTTGTAACCCCTTTAATGCCATGTGCTAGACCAACTGCACACATCTCCATATAGCTGCGCTCAGCAGTATTGTGCATTGGTTCACAAAGAGTAAATGTCAATAGTTCATTGTGCATTCTGATCCCACTTTACCATGCTAATCTTCTGGAAAGGGCTTCCTGTCCTCATGAGGACAGCTTTTGAAAGACTAAGTCACCTTACCGTTGGTGTTCAAGCACAGTCTATTGTTTCTGTTAAGAGGATCGAGTTTCTCAAACCAACATGAATTAAAGCACGAAAATCAGCATCACGTTTGAGCCAGTGAACTGTAATCTTATAATTAATCTGTTTCTTCTTTTGTAGTTTTTACTAGATACTAGAACTCATTGATGCAATTCATTGTCTAGAAATTAAATTAAAACAAGAAGCCTCCTTGGTTTTTATAAATTCATCTCTGTACTTGGGTAATATTTCATGGTATGAGTATAATATATGCAAAGACTACATTTACATGAACCATAAAAAATGGACATATGAGAATTATTTTGATCATTAGAGGGATTTTTATTTTTGAATATTATATTTTTTAATATTTCACACTATTTAGTTTCAGAGTTGTCTTTCACATAAATGCAAAATTATTACCAAAGTCCTAATGGCTTTTTAGAACTGAGTATCATCTACTCTGAAACATTTTGCTTCTATAATATGCTCACATTCCTCAACAGAGATTCCACTCCTGGAATGCACACACCAAAATCCAGGGGGTTAAAAGCAGTGACCTTGTAAGAGACTTGGCCAGGCCTATCTTCTAGTATTGAGGGTCTCATGTGGAGGCAGAGGGTGACTGTGGTTAACTGCAGGGACAAAGACGGTGGTAGCAGCAATTCTGGGGCATATTCACTGGCATGAGCCCTCCTAGAGGCTGCCATTAGCCCCACCTCACAATCTGTAGCTCCAGAGCTGAGATGAATCAGGTCAAACAACAGGGAGCCCCACCCACCTGCAGATGGCTGCTTAAAGTCTTCCTGATGATGGTCCTGTCCATCAGAGAGATAAGACACAGCTCCACCCAACAGTGGAATCCCTCCTGTCAGGAACCCTGTACAGGCCTCTTACTGCTACTGCTAAGTCTCTTCAGTCATGTCTGATTCTGTGCAATCTCATAGACGTCAGCCCACCAGGCTCCCCTGTCCCTGGGATTCTCCAGGCAAGAACACTGGAGTGGGTTGCCATTTCCTTCTCCAAAGCATGAAAGTGAAAAGTGAAAGTGAAGTCGCTCAGTCATGTCCGACTCATAGCAACCCCACGGACCACAGCCTACCAGGCTCCTTCATCCATGGGATTTTCCAGGCAAGAGTACTCTTAGACAGCCTCATCCACCAGAGGGTAGACAGCAGAAGCAAGAAGAACTATAATCCTGCAGCCTTTGAAACTGAAACCACTATCACCGAAAGTTAGGCACAATGAAACCACAGAGGAATATGTCTCATAGGAAGGACCAAGATGAAACCCCAGAACAACTAAGTGAATTAGAAATAGCCAAACTACCAGAAAAAGAATCCAAAATAATAATAATAATAAAGCTGATCCAAGATATCAGGAAAAAAAAATGGAAACAAGGATTAAGAAGACGCAAAAACTATTTAACAAAGACCTAGAAGAACTAAAGAAAAAACAGAGATTAACAATACAATAATTGAAATGAAAAATACACTAGAAGGAATCAATAGCAGAAAAACTGAGAGAGAAGAATAAATAAGTGAGCCGGAAGGCAGAATGGTGAAAACCACTGCCCCAGAACAGAATAAAGAAAAAAGAATAAAAGAAATGAAGACAGTCTAAGAGATGTCTGGGATATTAAATGCACCAACATTTGCATTATAGGTATTCATCCCAGAAGGACAAAGAAAGAAAGTACCTAAGAAAATATTTGAAGAGATAATAGCTGAAAACTTCCTTAATGTGGGAAAGTAAACAGTCACCCAAGTCCAGGAAGTGTAGAGTCCCAGGCAGGATAAACCCAAGGAGGAACACGCCGGACACAGAGTAAAGCAACCCAACGTACGCAAATTTGAGTTTGATGCCAGCTAACTACCTCAGCCAGCTATGATGTGAACATAGAGGCCTTGTTAGGCTAATATGTACACAGATGCCATCTTTGGGTCATTTACATAATAATATACAAATCTCCGCTTCAAAGACTAAATGTCATTTACTTTGTGCAGTGGAAAAGAATAATAATTAAACACATGAGTTCTCCTCCTGTTTCTATTTTTAACAAACGAGCTGATAAGTTTTGCTCTGATTTCAGACTCAGAGTAGAAAAAAAGAAACGTCTAGGTTTTTTAAGCTTTGTAATTTCTATCACCAACCTCAGCATCACTAGAAATCATGGCATACATTTTTGGTTTAACAAATGGATGAGTACACTGAAGAACAGTTTTGGATTTTGTCATTTCTATGTATCGTAGCCTCTGTTCTGTTTTCAGCATTCTCCTAAACAGCAGAGATTGTAGGCTGAGTTCTAGCTGCTAGCTAATTTTAGCAAACTGCCAACTCCTTAAAAATATCCATAAAATACCCTGACTATTGAGAACTCAAGAATGTTTGTAAAATCATTAGAGTTTAAATGGAAACTCCCTAGTCCCAGATTTCAATCAGCATTCATAGCCTGGGAGTTTGCCCAGAGTTTGAAGCATATTTGCTTAAATATTCACATAAAACTTTAGGATTAAAAGGCATAAATGATAATGTTAGGCCAATTCCTTCCATTTACAGATGGGAGTTAATGATGTCCCAAAATCACAACACTAAATGGTAACCAATTATAGACTAGAAGTCAGGAATCTTGAATTCAAAATGAGTTATTGAGTTCTACTATGCCATGCTACCACTTTATAAATCTCACAGCTGGTCTTTGACCAGAGGAAGAATATACAAAAAGTAGTATGAAGCAGAACACCATGTGTTCTTTTGAGAACATGGATTCTTGTCAGATTGGGCTCCATGTAAATTAAAAACATGAAGTAACTGATTCATTGATCATGATACTTGAATATTGCTAACACAGAAGCTTGCATGTTCACTGAAAGAGTTAAGCTGCGGACCCATAGAGAATAAATTAGTGGTTACCAATGGGGGGAAGGGCGATATAGGGGTAGGAGAGTTACGGATACAAACTACTGGGTGTAAAACAGGCTCGAGGATGCAATACACATACAACGTGGAGACTATAATCAATGTTTTGTAATAACTGTAAATGGAAAGCAACCTTTAAAAATTGCATTAAGTCTTTTTTAAAAAGAGGTAAGCTGTTTCTCTTACCAAATATATCATAGATCTGATCACTGGATTTGTCCAAAAGACCTGGAATTCTTTAATCCCAGTTTGTTCTTAATTCTAAATTTGTTTAATTAGTATATCTAATAACTGCAAATTTATAAGGAAATTTTATTAGCAACTAAAATATTTCCTGTGCTACAGAGTAGTAGAGGAGGAAGGATTTCTATTTGCTGAGTATTATCACCAATCAACTTCTATCACAATGTGACAGCACTCATTCTGCTTACAGAAGAGAGGCTTCATTCTGTTTCAAAGAAGCTTTTTTTTCTGAAGTTGAGGGTTATACATGGAAAGAGAAAAGTCAAAGCAGCTAGGGCGATTCATTATTCATGATTACAGAACCTTTATTAAAATACTTCCAGAGATATAATTCCACTTTTCAATAATTAGGAATGTATGCAGCATAAAAGGTAACATTTGACTAGTTGATAATCTATACATATTTAAGCTGATTGATGAACCTGCCATTTTAGAGAAATAAAAGTTAACACAAAATTATGTTTATGAACCAAATCATTACATAAAACTTAAAATAATGGCCACACTAAACTTGAATTTTTTTGTTTAAATGCCTTTATCCGGAAGAAGATAAAAGAGGAAGAAAAGGAAGATGAGAAGGTAGAGAAATATACAGTGAAGAGACTTTCAGACCAGTAGGTAAAAACTGGGTCCTGGTCCTGATTCCAGGGCTTTTTAACTGTGCAAGCATGAATGAGTCAGCACCTTCTCACAGCTGTGGTTTCTACGCTGCCTCCTTTTGGGGCTGCTGTCGGTGTGCATGCTTGGGAAATAATAATGGATCTTCCAACTGAGAAGTGCCAGTATGCAGTCACTCAGAAAGTCAGACTGCTGTCAGATTTGCCTGAAACGATGGTTGACTTAGGTTTTGGCATGTTTCACATTCTGGGGGAACAACGAGTCTCGTCACACCAGATGAGCTTGTCCCACCATCTGGGGGAAGAAATGGAGGCCTAAGCCCCACCAGAAACAACAGTCTTTCACACAGAAACACAATTAAACAAGCAAAAACCTCCACAGGTAATTAGGATACATAAGTCATCTTCTTCCTTGACCTTTGCCCAGAGCTGGGAACCACCGACTTAGATGAAGTCTACTCCTGGTTAAGTGCAGCTACAAGAGGGCAGAGTTAATTATCAAGAGTATTTTCTGGATAAAATAATTGATAAGGCCCTAGGAGCTATTTTTCAAGACATATTATATGCTGTTGAAAGAATTCATAATAGCAGAAGTCCCCATTTATATAACAACCAATAGAATAAAACATACAAAGAGTTAGTCTAATCATAACATTTTTCTTATAATAAGTGTCTCTAAATTACTCTGGCCATTTCTAATTAAAATTCTTTCAAATACATTTTATCCAATATACCCTATTCACCAAAAGCTTTAGAAAAGTGTTGAAAATTTGAGTTTTTATTGTACAGATAGTTCCACAAATTCAGTAGGTGTAAGATACAATTTTGACCTTTCCTTAAAGCATACATGTCATTTTCAAATGATCTGAGAGAAAATCCAACTCTTAGGAACGAAGAAAACATAACGAATCTCTTCAGTGAAACGGTTCTTCCTTTATTCAGTCAGCAGATTCTCCTTTTTGTCTTTGGTAACCATTTCTGGAAGTCTACTTGACTAGCTAGGGTTAGCACAATTCCACACATTTTGATGTTGCTTCTGTAAATTCAAGACAAAGGCAGAAAGAGGTTGTGTCTGGGCACTGCTGCCTCTCACAGCATGAAACGAAGCCCAGCAGAACGGTCTCAGTCACCACAAACAGCCAGCACACAACAAATTGGGAGTGATTAATGCGTGATCCACCAACTAGATAGTCTAATTAAATAACAGTGGTTAATTGCTAATTAGTATGTGACTTATGTAGATAGAAGCGCTTAGACTTGTCAAATGTTAAAAAGAACACTGAAAAAATCAAAGTGCTGTCATTTCATGATCTATTTAAAAATGATGCAGTTGAGTTGGAATTTTTTTGCCATCATCTGTCTCGTCAAAACAAAACGGATTTCTTCCTTCCATTTAAGCAATAATGTCACTTTTGATGTTGTGAAAGGCTATAAGCACTAAAATGAAACAGTACTTTGATGTGTGTATGGGGGGTAGTGTAATTTCTATTACTCATTTAAACTTCAGCATATTTGAAATGTAGCCACTACTATTCACCTGGACACAGCTGGTTCTCACTTCTTAGATGTTTATTTTCTGTGTACTTAGAAAGACCTGGTTTCAACCAAAACCCCCTCTATTTAGTCAATTCAGTAACATATATTCAGAATATGTAAATCTACCGTTCATGAAATTCACTGTCCTTGGGGGCTAAGGTGGGGCCAGCAGGATCTGAGATCTGCTTTTGGAAACTGTAAGACTTGCTTCCACAACTGTGAGATTTGGGAGGGATTTTTTTTTTTTCTTTTTATTTGGCTTTTATAGAAAAAAACACCATCTGTCTCCTCATTACCCTTAAAAAAAAGAAGGAAAAGAAAAGCCTGAGATGGCATACTGATGCCAACCTTTACTTTCAATTATTTATCATCTAAAAAGAACATACATGAAGAAGGTTTCATGAATGACGCTTTCCCCTTTTGTAGAAAGTGTAGTGGAAATGCTCCACGCATACTCCTAAATGGGCGGATCAGATCAATGCCCATCTTCACTAAACATTATTTTTTCATAACCTCACCAAACAAACCAACTAAATACCTTTCCTGTCTCCTTGGTGATAGTGACACATGCGCTGCCCTAAAACAAAAACCCATAAACAAAAGACTGCACTCTAAAATCACAACACATTCGCCTGAAAGAGGCTTGCGGATGGAGGGTCTGCTGCATAATTTATCAGCGTGTGGCCTGAATACCACCCTCCTCAGAATCACACAGAATCATTGAGGATGCTTCCTGGCTCTCACTCCACACCTCTGGAAACTTGCATTTTTGATGAGCACTCCCAGGTGATACTGACACAACCTAAATTTTGAGGGCGGTTATGGTGTTTACCATCCAGAGAGGAAGAGCCTTTCACCCACACATCTTCAGACATTTTGCTCACCCTTTTCCTCCATCTTCATCCCCATGAGCTCTGAAGAGAATAAAGAAAACTGATTTTCAACTCTGAGGAGAGGGATGAATGGTGCTGTTTCCCGTCTAGGTTAGAATATTCACTGATTGAAATGTAGACTAATGGAGTGAAAGCCCTAGAGAAAAGAAAACTGGATATTACAGAAACAGTCATTAAGTTAGGGGACAAAAGTGGCAGAGGGAACCATTCCCAGTGCAGTGGACAGAGGGACAGAGGGGAGACTGCTACGGCCAAGGGGGTGGCCCCATGCCCTCCTGGGAAGTGAGCTGAATGGATTCCTGAAACTAGATCCAGGACAGGTGCTAAAAGAAATCACCCTCGCTAGCTTGAGGCCAAGAGGAAATAGCTGCGCGCATACAGCTGGCTGGACAGATGGCTGCCTCTTAACATAAAGGGGAAAAAAAAGGAAGAAATGCTCCTGAAGAATACCAGGTGGGGACGCAGAGGGCCCGTAAGTAGTGGTCATCAGAAAGCAAAGTAGCTAATCTGGCTCCCAGTGAAGCAGAACAGTCAACCCCACCCTCAGCCACAATAGAAGGGAAGAGGGGGCCAGTGCTAGCTGTCTAGCTAGTGGGGGCAGCCGCAGATTAGCAGCTCATTGCTGACGATTTCTGTTCCATCATTTCGGAAGGAGCTGAGATTGCAGCTTTGTAATATTTCTAAGCCAGTGGGCTTCTGTAATTAAACTGACCCCTCGCCCCTCAAAAACCTCTATATTCAGTTTTTCTTAACCCCATTACGTATAAATGAGTTGTATAATTTTACTGGGTCTTTTCTGTTGTTTCCTTTTTACTTTAGTACAGCCAATAAATCTCAGTTACAATGTGTATTCAATGGACTATTAGGGGTTAACTTAGGAACATATCACTACTCTTTTTATTGATTCTATGAGAAAAATGCATTCTGAGTTCCAAAGTAGTAATTTAAAAACAGAATCTTGGAGCAGTACTTGTGGGTAATTGAAGACTTCCTGTACAAGCAAATTCAGACAAGTTGAATCTCCTGAACAGATCTCTTTGGTACAAGTGTTTATCCACAGTGCCCTCTAGCGGTTTAAGTTGCCATTTCAACACACACCAAAAAAAACCGAAAAAGTTCTCTGAGCAAATCCTTTCCCATATTTGAAATGGCTATATGTATTTAAAAATCTCAGAACAATACAATCTAAGAATTTCATATCTGAGAAATACTAGAAAATATCATTTGAATTTATTATACACTCAAAATTTGATCATTGTTCACTTGATCATGACACAAAAATATGTTATTTGAGGAATTAATCTAGGTCTCCCTTGGTTTTGTTCTATTTAATTAAGAACATCAGTATGGACACAAAAAGCAATTTAAGACAGACTTTTTTTCTGATTTGAATTTTCTATTTTCTGTTTTTTTGAAGTCCAGTTTCCTTTCTTTCGGATGATGCACTATTCCTATACAAATGTTAAAGCTAGTTACAGAGCAATAACAGCCAAAGGGGAAAAATGTTTTCCATGATAACTTCATCACCTGTGTCTAAAATCTCAGATCTCTGATTTAAACATTATTACTGCAGTCACCCAATTTGCTTTTTTCTGAACTGAGTCTCCATGGTTTTTCAGATACCCCTCAACAAATAAAACCTCTGAAGTGAAGTTAAGAATAGAAATTATAGCGGGCTTTGTGCTGTCCTCAGGCTAAATGAAAGGTAATTTATCTTAAGCTTAATTAAATTATATTATTTTCACATACTTATCACTGTATTTCACAGGATACAATACAACAAATAGGGTTTCGAAAGAAAGATCACAGTACAGAGAACAAAGAAAATGACGGAAAAAATAAGAGAGCCAACATGAAAGCACAACATTAAAGAAAGAAAAAAGAGTAATAACCAAGAATGGAAATACAAGTGTTTATTTTCCTTGCAACATCTAGGTGATTAATCAAGTTTCAAAAAGATACACAAACCATGGTAATGAGTAATGTATCATAGCTTTTGATTATGCATTGAGCTACTTATACTTACCAAGTCATAAGGTTAGGAAGTTGGCTATTACATAATACTTTGGTTTCCAGAGTGCTCCTCCAGAACCAGCAGCACCAACATCGTCTGGGAACTCGTTAGAAATTCTCAGGTCCCACCCCCCACACTGTCTCAATCTGAATATCTAGGTCTTCACACACCTTGCAGGTGATTCTGATGCAAACTACAGCTGAGAGCCACTGTGATAGTAGATCAAATACTGACCTTAATTGGAAGCGGAATTCAGAAAACCTGTATTAAGTTTTGTGATGATTCTGAGCAGCCTGATCTTAGGCATCCGTTTCCTCATCTTTGTAAAGAAGACGGTAATATCCACCTGATGATACAGGTAGCAAGCTCCTTAAGACTACTTGTGCTCAAGCCTAATTACCCATTCATTCATATTTTTAAATACTGATTGAGCATCTACTATGTTCCAAGAACTGTTCTCTATAGATGCTTGGGATCTATCAATGAATAAAAGAGTGAAAAATCTCTTTCCTAGAGCTTATAATTCCAGTGGAATAAAACACACCTTAAATAGTAAACATATTATATTAGTTTCCCAGGGCTGCCATCACAAAGTACCACAAACTGGATGGGTTATAGAACAGAAATGGATTGTCCACAATTACAGAGGTTGGAGGTCTGAAACCTAGCTGTCAGCAGGGTGGTTCCTTCCGAGAACCGTGAGGCAGGAGTCGGTTCTCGGCCTCTCTCCTGGGTTTGTAGACAGCTGTCTCTTCCCTGTGTCTCTCAATCACTGTCCTTCCATGTGTGTCTATCTCTGTGTCTCTTTCTTCCCTTTCTGTGACACGGGTGCCAGTTATACTGGATTTTGCCTGCCCACTGATCTCATTGAACTCAATTACCTCTATAAAGACCCTCTCTCCAAGTGGTTACCTTCTGAGGTCTTAATCCTTCTGCAGATTAAGACTCCACCACATCTTTTATGAAGAAGACACAATCTAACCCTTAACATGCATTAAATGAAGGAATTCTCAATAAGTTAGAAGATAAAGCATGCTAAACGAAAAAATCAAGCAGGATATTTGGGTTCGGGAGCACAGGAGTTGAGTCAGGATAGAATTTAAATAAGGCCAAAACAGGCCTCAGTGGTTAAGTGACATTTGAGCAAAGACATGAAGAAGGCTTAGTAGGGATGTCAGAGAAGACACCCAAGCACTAATAGATGGTTTCTGTGTCCACTCGGTGCCTGATTCATCATCACCCTTTGTCTTATCCAGCTCTTTGCTGTGTGCTGTGTAAAGTGAATCTACATAGGGGATTGGTCTCAATTACTGGAGAACAGTGGTCCCGACTATTTTTTCTCGGGTTCTTGTTTCAAGAAAACCTGGAGATTATTGCTGAAAGTCACTTCTACCAATTTCCTAAAAGTCTGAGAAACAAGGATCACTAAATCCAACATATATTTCCCCAAGACATCAAAACATCATCTTCTGTGAAACCTAAACAGTAATGTTAGAGTCCGTTTCACCATGACTACTTTGCTAGTCATTAACCTGATTCCCTGGAATGCAGCTTATCATCACCACCACACTAAAAACAGAATTTCCTATGAAGTTTCCCTTTCTAAATATTCAAGACTTCCTGAAGTATACTGTTCACCAAATGTAGACATCATTATGAAAAGCTCATATTTTATGTGTAAGTTTCATGGAGCTGAGCTTTAGAAACTGAACCTCGTATTCTTCCAACGGTATATTTCTACATATTTTTTCATTATTTTGATTTCCTACAATGCATATACAGATGTGCCCTTTACATGACATAAGTGGCTGTGTGTTTCTCCCGAGGAGAGGTGAGGGGTATGGTAGAAATACTACTGGGTAGCAGAGGGCCTGGGTTCAGTCCCAGCAATTAATTTTACCCCGAGCCCTTAGGGTCAGTTGCCTCAACCTTTAATAAGGTAAACAAGTAAGGGGAAGTCTGTGTAGCTCTCAGACTTCCAGCCGACATCTACACACCTGAAAGAGAGGACACATGTCCGTCACTATCAGAGGTTCACTAGGACATTGTATGAGGCTGCAGGTGAAGGGTAAGGGTAGATGAGTGTTCTGAAAAATTCCACATGGAACCCTGACATATCCGAGACCAAGATAAGCTGTGACGTCACTGCCATTGTTCAACACCACCACCCGCCCCCGGTCCATCCAGTCTCTGAGCCCACTGAGACTGGTAATCCATGTACCAACATCACTAGTACCATCACCGTCTCCAACAGCCCACTTCTCTATTAGCACTGCTCACTGCTATACTATTACTCCTATGGTTAGTGTTGCTTGATTGAGTGCTCATTATATGACAGGCACTATGCCAAGTACTGTGTTTACAATGCTTTAGTCTATAGTCCCATGTGTGCAAAAATATTACTTTATTTTTGCTGCGATAGAAATTCCCACCTCTAACTCATATTCTGCCTGGAAGCGGAAACTTCATATTAGTCCTGATAAATGCAGTTCCTCAGTGGCCCAGGTCTAAGGTCTTCTGCTCATCTTTCTTATCTTCTCATCCTCCCCATCTCACCTGACCTGTGGAGGGAACATGTCCACATCACTGTCAGAAGCAAGGGCAGAAAGGAATTTGTTATTCTCCGCATCAGAGTTCCCACTGGAATTCTATAAGGTTGTCTGTCCATTCACTTGCCTTGACCCATCTACCTGCAACAATTTCTGTTCTGCGACCACTATGTTCTAGGAACGAAGAGGCTAATGAGCATGGATTCCTACCTCCCAGGCTGTGCGCAATGAGTAATACACAGGCCTCCCCTTCTTCAAGGTCCTCGAGTGTGTTTGAGGAGACATTTCTTCCTGTGCTACACCACTTCAAAGCCTCCTGGGCATTCTCAGTGGCCATCATCCACAGATGTCTTACTGTCTCACTTCCAGTGATGGTTAGTTCTCTGAGTCAATCTGAATAACCCAGTTACTCACACACTATTCTAGGTGTTGCTATGAGGGTGTTTTGTAGATGTAGACATAGTTAGTGTCTAAAATCAGTTGCCTTAGTCTCAATATTGTATGGGGGCTTCATCTAATGCATTATTCTTCAAGGCCTTAAATACAACATAGAAGTTTTGCTGAAGAAGAATAAATTCTACTTCTTGACAGCAGCATCAGCTCTTGCCTAAGACTTTCCAGCCTGCCGGCCTACTCTACAGATTTCAAACTCACAGTCACATGAGAAAATCCTTGGTTGAGTACGTGTGGTGTCGTGTGTAGCATACAGGGGTGTGTGTGGTGTGTGTGTGTGGTATGTGTGCACATGTGTGTGGCATATATGTGGGCGTGGTGTGTGTGGTATGTTTGTGGTGTGTATATGGGTTTGTGGTGTGTGCATGTGGTATATTTGTGTTATGTGTATGTGGGGTATATGTGTGTGTGGTGTGTCTGTGTGTGGTATGTTTGTGATGTGTGTGATGTGTGTGTGTGGCAGGTATGTGTGGTATGTGCGTGTACATGTGTGTGCATTCACTCCATCCCCCATTGGTTCTGTTTCTATGGAGAACCCTGACTAACATATTTCTCCTCCTACTCTCACTTCTTTAAACCAAAGAATTTTCATTTTAATATTTGAAAATAGCCTTCTATTACATGTAAATTATAAGTTGATCAGGCATCCTAACGACTGTATATGATGGATACTTTTATCCTCAGTTTGCAGATAAGGGAATTTAAGCTTAGAGAGGTGAAATAATTTGCTAAAGGTCAGTCAGCAAGCAGCAAGTGTTGGCTAATCTCCAAATCAGTGGTCTTGCCCATTGGCTGATATACTCTAAAATTAGTCTTTCTAGTGGCTGTTGTCTGGCATAATTTTATGTACCAACTTGACTATGTCAAGGAGTGCTCACTTTAAACCTTGTTTCTGAATGTGTCTATGAGGCTGTTTCCTGATGAGACTAGCATTAGTACTGCTGGCCTCAGTAAAGCAGATGGCCCTCCTCTATGCGGATGGACACCATCCAATCTGTTGAAGGTCTGAATAGAACAAAAACAGCAGAGGAAGGGAGAATCTGTTCTCTCAGCCTGACTGCTTCAGCCGGGGCATCAGGCTGCTCCTCTTGGGCTGAGACGTGCACCATCAGCCCTGCTGGTTCTCAGGCCTTTGGATCAGGACTGGAATTTACACAGAAGGCTTTCCAGCTTATAGAGAGTAGATCATAAAACCTCCTAGCTTCATAATCACATAAGCCAATTCCTTAAAACGAATCTCATTTTTACACACACACACACACATATATATATATATATGTTTTATCACATATATTATACCTAGTTTTTATGTTTTCTCATATGTATATATATGTATTTCCTATTGGTTCTGCTTCTTTGAAGAACCCTGGCTAATACAGCACACCTACATGCTAACACATCTGCAGTGACACCACAGCTCCCACAGACACACTTCTCCAACTTTCCCATTCAACCCTGCTTGGGATCAGTCAGTTTCCACAACCACACTTTGTTTTCTAATGCATTTCAATTCTTTGACTGAATCTAGAGATCTGTGTGCATGCGTGGTTGTATCTGACTCTTTGCGACCCCATGGACTGTAGCCCACCAGACTTCTCTGTCCATGGGATTTCCCAGGCAAGAATACTGGAATGGGTTGCTATTTCCTACCCCAGAGGATCTTCCTGACCCAGGGGTCAAACAAGCATCTCCTGAGTCTCCTGCACTGGCAAGTGAATTCTTTACCACTGCACCAACTGGGAAGCCCAGAGATTTGCAGTGACAGCTATACTCTTGGCTGGAGCTCTGACCACCTTTCCAGTCCTTGCCTTTCTCTCTTCCAATGTCTGGATAACCTTGTCTCTGTAATTCTCAAGCAGTAATTTACATCCTATATTTAGAGCAGAACCACTATGCTCCTTGAAAGTGATCTGAGTATTGTACCAGTTGAGAAGGATTTTTATCTTCGATCTTATCTTGACTACTGGATCCCACAACCCTTTTAAACACTGACCCCTTTGGCCCAGCAGTGAGTCCCACTACTAAAAAGAATGTTGTTGTTTAGTCACTAAGTCATGTCCAACTCTTTGTGGCCCCATGAACTGCAGCCTGCCAGGCTCCTCTGTCCATGGGATTCAGGCAAGAATACTGGAATGGGTAGCCATGGCCTTCTCCAGGAGATCTTCTCGACCTAAGGATCAAACTCATATTTCCTGTATTGCAGGTGGATTCTTAACCAGTGAACCACCAGGGAAGCCCTTACTAAAAAGGATACAGTCTCCTTATCACCCTGTCTTTCCCAGTGCAAGTTGAGGGAACCATGCCTACCACTGAATATGTTGTCAGTTCAATTCAGTTTAGTTCAGTCGCTCAGTCATGTCCAACTCTGAGACCCCATGACTGCAGCACACCAGGCCTCCCTGTCCATCACCAACTCCCGGAGTCCACCCAAACCCATGTCCACCAAGTCAGTGATGCCATCCAACCATCTCATCCTCTGTCGTCCCCTTCTCCTCCTGCCCTCCATCTTTCCCAGCATCAGGGTCTTTTCAAATGAGTCAGGTTGTAAGCAGTAGTATTAGAGCGAGTATGAGCATGGACTTCCAGAGAAGACAGAGTCAAATTCAGATCTGGGCTCCATCAATTATGTATGCGACCTTCAAAAAGGTATCTTTTAAGAGATTCCTCATATGTAAAATGGAGAAAACAATAGCAACAGCATCAATTAGAAGAGTAATGGTAGAAATATCTAAAAAGTCTCATTAGTAAAAATTAAATGAGAAAACAACATCAAGTGCCTAAATTACTCCAGGCCTATGACAATCACTCAGCAAATATTAACACCAGTGATGATGTAGTGATGATGATGATGAAACATCACAGGTTCCATGTAGATGATCTTATCTTTAAAAGAGCATCTACAATGGGGAAATGGGGAGGGCAAAGGAAGAAACAAGAAACCAAGTATCTTTAATGAAGCAGTTGACAACTAGTCCCAGCTGGGTGAGAAGTAATCTGGTCATTACTGGCAGGGCATACATTGACAGTGCTGTGCGGTGCTATGCTAAATCATTCAGTCACGTCTGACTCCTTGTGACCCTATAGATCATGGTCCACCAGGCTCCTCTGTCCATGGGATGCTCCAGGCAAGAATACTGGAGAACCCAGGGATAGAACCCATGTCTCTTACGTCTCCTGCATTGTCAAGCAGGTTCTTCACCACTAAAGCCCCCTGGGAAGCCCACATTAACAGAGTAGGGGGGAAACACAAACACAAAGGCACTTTTTCTCCACTGTTTCATATTCAGTTCTCTGTCCCTGTACCAGAAAGGAAAAAAATAAAAAATTAAAACTAAACTAAAATTAACAGGTGCCTGTGTATCATTTCTCCTGTTCTTGCTGCTATTTTTGTGGGAGAGAAACACATGGAAATAAGAAGTTCCAGAAAATCTCTGCTCCAGGAATATGAATGTTAATTGTTGAGTGTGCAAACCTTGGAGTCAAATATATGAGTGCTATCACAATTCTACCATTTTCCAGCTTACCTAATAAGCTCTCTCAGACTCAGTTTTCTCATCTATAATCTCCAAGGTTAATGTGCTCGTCAAAATATTCTGTAGAAAGCAAGAGAAACCCAGCTTAAATGAGCTTAGGGTATCAATAGAAAGTTAGAACATATGAGTCATGGGAAGTCAGAAATAAAGATGAGTTTCAAGAACAAGTGAAACTAGAGATACTGGTGGGGTCCTTTTTTCTGACTCTTGTATCTGCTCTCTGCATTGTCAATTTAATTTTTTCTTACTAAGACCAACAATGGTGCAGTGGTAAAGAATCTTCCTGCCGATGCAGGATTTGATCCATGGGTCAGGAAGATCCCTTGGAGTAGGAAATGGGAGCCCACTCCAGTGTTATTGTCTGGAGAATCCCATGGACAGAGGAACCTGGTGGGCTATAGTTCATGGGGTCAGAAAGAGTCAGACACAGCTAAGTGACTCTGCACACCCAATGTACACAGGACCCAACAAACAAAGCCAATGAAAGCTGCCAGGGTTTCAGCTACCAGAGCAATTCCAAGTTTAAAAATTTCCTGGGGAAGTACTCCAATTAGCTGAGTTTAGCCAGTGCATACCCCCAGTCGAACCAAATAAGCC